TCAAAACACAGCATGGACTTCCTGAAAGGACCGAGCCTGGACTGATTGCTTTCCAACTTCGTGGCATATGCTGAAGCCCGCCATTTGGACTAGATCAGACATTGCTTGTTACTTATCTCTTATGCATAAAACAGCAAAACAAATTCTGTAAAGAAAGACCTCTCCCCAAAGAAAAAACTACTAGAGATTTCCAGTTTGTAGACTACCTCCTATGTTTCCTGTACATGAATTCATCGTCATTTGTAGTCTCTTTGTTCTCTCTCTCTGATTCTTAAACAATTAGATTTTAAGAGCTTGTCACATGGCTCAAGCACCCACTGGGTGACCTGCAGATTCCCTGGCTCATTGATCTGTGGCTAATTCTAGTAGCAAGAGAATTTTGCAGGACTAACTTCTTGCCACAATGTTTCTTTTCTGGTTAACACTGACTTTCAGATGCTTCGTGCTTTGATTGCGATCTATTTTCCCTGCCTATGTCCTGGGTCCGGACTAACAAATGTGATTGATTATAGGGCTTATGCAGGTAAGCAAGTGAATAATCAAGCCAAGTTGGGTAATTCTGTCACGACAGTGACAAACAGCCCCATGTGATTATTACCATAGAAAATGAAGGAAAGCAGCCCTAGTATTGCTAGGCCTTTCAAGGTTCCAACAGAAGCCTGGTACCTAATAAATACTCAGTAAATACTTTTTAAATCAATTGATGTAGAAAATCAGAATCAGATTTTCTTCTGAAATCTGTACATTTTAAGTTTTCAGCTGCAGAATGTAATAGGTAAGGAAATGAATGTCAGAGCCAGAATTCCTGGGTTCAATATCTACCACTGCCACCTTTCAGCTATAGGCAAGTTATATAAAAAAATCTATGTCTCAGTTGCCTCACTTGCAAAATAGGGAGCTAGGATAGCCCTTACCTGGTAGCATTGTTTGAGAATTCCCTTTTTTACTTTCATTTCCCCAGTGCTACTGGAGATTGAAGGCAGGGCTTCCACACATGCTGAGCAAGTGCTCCACCCCTGATCCTCACCCCAGCCTCATTTTTTACTATTTTTTAAATCTTAGGCTAATACCTGGTACATTATTGGTGCTACCTAAACACTAAAAGTTAAGAAAGCCTTATTAATACATCTCCTGAGTAGGAAACATTTCCACATGTGGTTTCCATTTTTATCCCCCACCGTACCTGCAGGAAACTGTTTTTCTTGGGATTTCTCAGGATTTGCTCAGGGTGATGGCCACGTAGGTACTCCTGGGCCCTCCAGGGATGCTGAGGGTGGGAGATCACAATGTGTGCAGTGGCCTGTCCAGTGTCACAGTCCAGCACACCACACGTCCAGTGCAAAAGTCCAGTTCAAGAACTTTAACGGTCAAGACCAGAAATCTCTAATCCAGGTTCGCCTCAGGCCTTCCTACTCAATGGCTCAATAATTAAATAAAGATCTGGTTCAAACCATTTTGTGGGTTATTTTTAATCAACAAAATGATTGCCTAGAAGGAACCAATTTGAAACAATACCCAAAGCTTTCGCCTTCAGTAACGACCATCTATATTCTTATTCTTCTATTAACTTGTCTTAATAACGCTTTGCAATCGTTTACCCTTTCTTCTGTCTGAATACAAGGACTTTCTCCCAGGAACTTTACAAGCAAGTCACCTGACACTCCAAGCTGTGTCCTAGAAACTGCTAAGTTGGGAACAGCCTGTCAGCCTTCCCTTTGATTTTCCTGGTTCTTGTTGGTTTAAGGCAGATCCTTAATGTTATTTAAACAGAGGAGACTATTTGAAATTTCTTGGTAGATGAATTTGATAGTGATAATTTTTAAAAAACAATGACTGTCATCTTGTGATAAAAGATCTCATTCATTAGACACCTTATGTCAATAAATGAGGACTTCTTCGAATAAAAAGATCAATGTAGCTCTAGTTGTTTTCTTTTCTTAAACAACAGTGGTAACTTTATGTAGTCTCTGATCACCTACATTTGATATAGTTGTTTACAGAGTACAAAAGTCTTCTTTCATTTCAACTTTAGAGTTTTAAATTCTGTGTGTTGTGTCCAATGTGAGTGTGAGATGCATCTGCTGTTAAAAATCACTACTGATAAACTGGATTCATTAAAAATATTCATGAATTACATGGAGTTATCAAGAAAGTAAAAAACAGTCCACTAAGTGGACAATAATATAAATATTGTGAATCATTCTACAAGGGTCTAGTATTCAGAATCCATGCAGAGCTCTTACAATTGAAAAAAATTTTAAATGGACAAAGGTCTTGAATAGCATTTCTCCAAACAGAATATACAAATTGCTAAGAAGCACATGAAAAGACACTCAACATTCTTAATTATAAAGTAAATATAAATTTAAACAAGAGGGAAATACCACTTACATTCCACAATAGGGCTTTTTGAAACAATGAAATAAGTGTGAAGAGGATGTGGAGAAACTGTACCCTTCATATACTTCTGGCGTGAATTTAAAGATTACTCATTTACTATGGAAAGCAGTATGGTGGTCCCTACAAAAGTTATTCACGAAAGAACTGAAACCATATGTTGAAACAAAACTTTGTACACAGATTTCCATAGCAGTACTATTCATAACAGTCAAAAAGTAGAAACATAAAGTCCATCAGCTAATGAATGTGTAAACAGAACTGGTTCATCCATACAATCGAATATGATTCAGCCAGGAAGAGAAGTGAGGTGCTGACAAATGTCACACAGACACTGAACATTGAAAACCTTGCATCAAGGGAAAGAGGCCAGAAAAAGGCCACACACTGTGTGATTCTTTCCAGTGAAATATCCAGAATGGGAAAATCCACAGACACAGAAGGCTGGTTGGGGGCAGAAGAGGAGGAAGAATGAAGAGTGACTGTTTAGTGGTCTGGGTTTCTTTTGGGGGTGATAAATATTTCGGATTTAGAGAATGCGTGCACATCATTGTGAATGTAGTAAAAGCCACTGAACTGTGTGGTTTAAAATGGTTAAAATCATGGATTTTATGTTATGTAAATTTTACTACATTTAGAAGGTAGCATTGATTTAAATCCCACAGGTTTTCACTCCTAGCATTCAAGCCCACACATACCAGGCGAACACTCTGCCACTGAGTTAAACTCCTCACCCCAGGCTAGGTGATTTCAGGGGTGAAATATCACATCTTGCACATCAGTAGCTGACAAGTTGTGCTAGTCCACTCCATCCATCACCAGTCCTTTGCTCTGAAATGGCATTTGGGGTTTGTCAGTTTGCCAGTGGGCGCTTCAACTTTCCCAGTAGTATAGTAGATTTCCACTTCCACATGCCCCCTGCATAAGTTCGGCCATTTTGGTCATCAGTGAATGAGGCAGATGTGTGGAACTTTCTCCCTTATAAATTGCATTAAAATGTAAAATCAAAATAGTCACACATTAATTACCCCAGAAAGATGAAGGAGATGATTTTTCAGATCTCTCTCTTTTTTTTTTTTTTTGGTACCAGGGATCAAACTCGGGACCTTGTGCCTGGAAAGCAGATGGCAAAACCACTGGGCTAAATCCCTGGCCCTGATTTTTCAGATCTCTGACATGAGATAAATCAATCAGAAGCTACTTTGCATCTCCTAGAAAAATAAAGAACTTTGAAGACTAACTGTTCAGCAAGTCTCCCTGCAAAAGATGACATACATTCTTCTTCAACCAAAAAAGTCTTTTTTTTTTTTTTTTTTTTTTACCATTATGATGTTGACAATAAGATACTGCTTAAGTAACCAGGACAACATAATATATTATGTGCTCCAAATTTAATTTTTTGAATAGTAAACTTCTGTCAAGTGGACCATACAAGTGGAAGAGTTGGACAAATTAAAAAGTTGGAAAAAAATTGAAGAACATACTTGTTAAAACAATTGATGGCAGATGAAGATGGATCAGAGAATATAATTTTTTTTTTGTTTTTGTTTTTGTTGGTACCAGGGATTGAACGGAGAATATAATTATAAAGAAGAGTGGTAAAGAGAGAGCAAGGGCAGCTGTCATTTAGTTTCAAAGGTGGTTTCCTGAAGTTATGTTAAGGACCTGCTCCATGGTTTAAAAATACCTCGAAGAAACGGTCTGTATAAAAAGTCATGTTTAGCGGAGCATGGTGGTGCACACCTGGCATCTCAGCACTTTGGGAGGCCGAGGCAGGAGGACCGTAAGTTTGAGCCCAGTCTGGGCAACTTAGCAACTGTCTCAAAATGTAAAATAAAAAGGAGAGCTGTGTAGATGTAGATCAGATTCAGTCCCCAGTACTGCAAAAAGTCATGCTTATCTTTTATGACGTGTCGATTTCAATGTTAATATTAATAAATATATTCCAAACAGGCAGAAGAAAAAGAGAAGGTTTGAATAATTTGGGTTAAAGAAAGAAAAGCAAACCCTCTCACTTTCCTCTCAAGGGTGTGTCTAATTCAGACGGAAGCCAAGGCAGTTTCAGCCAGAACTACCTGCAGAATTGTGCTGCAAGTAATTTTGCTCCAGAGAAGCTAAACAGATCTGGTTCTTGCTCTGTTTTTATAAGGAAATTCGAGAAATAAAGAAACTGAAACCAACCTGTTGAAGGTGAATAGAACTTGATGGAAATAAGCTCTTTTACTTCACGTCCAAGCTAAATGAGGTAGAGGAGGACACAGAGGACTTTGTAGGTCGTGACTGTATCTGTGGTTGAATTCTAAAAATGCGCATCCACAGTACAGAGCTGACTGACTGAGTGGATAAACTAGTGCCAGAGCCCAAGAGATCTGTTTCTTTCACTTAAGGGAGAAGAATGAAGTCAAAACTGGCGAGGCCTACCAGGAAACATCAGGTTAACTGAAATTCTGGGTCCAACAGAGTCCCTTAGTTCTTTTCTGGGCTGTCCCTGGTCCCCTCCTCCAGCCATCTGAGTTTGGGCCTCAGTTCTCTGACTAGCAGTGTGTAAACTTAAGGTCAAATGAGCTCCAGGAAGATGGCCCTCAGCTCACTTCAGCTCTCACCTCTTAGCAGAAGTCTCTGAAGTGAGAACGCACGGAGTAGGGAGTAGAATCGTTCCAGGGCTGGCTTCCCGGGGTCACATCATCCCCAGAAGGATGGTGCTGGGTGGGAGAAAATGGAAAAGGAGATCAAAGTCACTGCTCTGCCTTTTAGGAAACATTTGGCCAATGCCTCCATCCAAGCACAGTAATTCTTTCTTATAGGCAGGGGTCCAGCTGGGAAAAAGGGGAAGGGTAGCTGGGGCTGGCTCTGAGGCCATTTTAGTTCCAGTGACCAAGCCACACTGGGTGAAGGCTGGAGGACTGGAGATGGGCTGGGGACAGGAGGAGGGACTGTTCTACCCCAGCAGGAAGTTTTAGGAACTATGAAATTCCCTTGGCCTGGGACAGTTCAAGCTGAATACCGCACTCCAGATGATTCATCAGCCACAAGAATCACAACTTAGGCACTGTCAGGTGTTTGTGCTCTGATTACTTGTGACCCCGCAGACACTGCTTGTAACTGAGTTCCAAGACCGAGTCAGAAGAGCAAGGCCTGAGCACAGGTGGCTGTCCCTGTCAGGCTGCACATGCTGTTCCCTCATCACCTCTGCTAGGGGCTTACAGGTCACAGACCTGAAGAATTTGTTAAGGGACGATCCTTGTTGCTGCTTTCCAGGGTTCCCTGGAAATAGATTATTTTGGAAAAAATAAAATTTTTTCTTCCTTCACTAATTGATCTGGAAACAGACAAAGCTCCCATTTTGTACCCACACCCCCCCCCACACACACATATACTATGTTTATTCTGTACTTGTGTCCGGATGGTACAAATACGACTTCTGCTTGCAATGAGAAGAGTAGAAACCTGTGGGCAAAATCCAAGGGTCTGGAGGGTTTTCATTTAAGAAGTGTGGAGGGACAGGCCAGAAAGGAATCCTGCTGGGGACCAGAAAACTAGGATTGCATGGCACCATGCCATGTGTGGGGTCCTGAGGCAGAGCTCAGGCTCTGAGCAAACCAACTTCACTTCTCCAGTTCTCAGACCCCACCAAGGGCAGGCAAACTCTTCCGGTTCAAGAGATTCCTGAAAGTAAAATGACTTCCATTCTTGCTCTTCTCCACCTCCAGGACCCAAGTCCACACCAAGGTGGAAGGGCCAGGATTGTAAGAGGGGACACCTGGTCTACCTCATTTTTGAGCACCACCTGAGCAATGCATGCCATGGAAACTTTGGAGGCAGGGTCTCTGAATGCCCGTGGTGGCCTCCAGGTGTTGAGGAAGCTGAGAAGGGTGGTCACTACTGCCTGTCTGTGGCCAGGGAACCTAGGGTGGGGTGTGCTGTTCTTGGGCTAATTCCTCTGCTCTCAAACGACCCAATCTTTCTAAGAAGACAAGGAGGCAAACAGCTAGGAAGGGGTTCTTCTCTTACCAAGCCTCTCTCCATCTTCCTCTTGTTTCTTACTTTTGTCGCAGCAAATCGGAACAGCTCAGTGCAACATCCAAGGGTTATAGCTGAGCGTTACAGCCAAGTGCCACAGTTCTGAGGCACAGCCGAGCGTTACAGCTCAGCATCACAGCTACAGCAATGTGAAGACTCGAGAACCCGAAGGTCACTGGAAGAGGTGGAGAAAAATCGCTTATTACACCAGAAGCTCAGAGGAGTTCCTACCCTGAAGTCTGAGTGCTTCGCTGGAAACGGGAGCCTCCCTATATGGGGGGGGGGGGTGTCTGTGGGGATGGGCGCATGCTCACTGAAGCAAGGAGGCGGGGTTAACAACATTCCTGAAGGGTCACACAGTTCAAACAGTGACAAAACATTTTAACACACTGGGCAGGAGCTGCCCAGCAGCACAAACTGTTACATTTCAGGCACAAAACATTCTGTGGAAAGAGAAACACGGGGGCAAGGCAAGGGCGAGGCAAGGGCCTGTCTTACTGTACAGCGTTGCCCCGTCGCTTTGACCTCCTCCCCTTCCCCTTAGGGTTTAGGAAAAGGACCCGCAGCTCAGGCAAACCCCCACTGGGAAGGCTGAGCGGGATTTCCGGTGGGGAAGGGGGGAGGAGAATTCTAACACAGCACCTCCAGCGCCCCAATTCTGAAGTCTCGGTCGGTGCCACGTGCTCCTAGCCCTGAAGCTGCAAGCCTCCATCTGGACCAGCTGCGCAGTCGTCCTAAGAGCCGCCACTAGGTAATGCCCAGGGCAACAGCAGAGCGCACTGCTTCGAATGTGGCAGGTGAATTGCCAGCTGTGCCGGCAGCCTGGGGAACCCTGAGGTTTCAGGGCCAGGTGTGGGCGCGCCCAGCCAGGTCCAAAGCCGCCCGTTGGGGCAGTGTGGACTTCTTCGGGAGGGCAGCGAGGCTGCAACACGCACCCCTGCCCCAAGGGGAACCCCGGGAGCGCCCGGAGAGTAGGTCCCCCAGATGTGGTGCCGCGCAGGCCGGGGCTGGGTCTTTGCTGCCCATTAGTCCATCAGCAAGGGTGGTCTGGGCAGGTTTTTGGAGGTGCAGCCAGTTTTTGGCGGTGTTGTGCATCTTGTGGCATCCACTGTGTTGGGGAAAGTTCATGGCAACTAAGAAGTTAACGCAGGGGCGCGGCGAGGGCGCAGGGCTCTGCAAGGGAGAGCCGGGTGAGGCCGGCCAAGGGCTCCCTGCCTCCCAGCTGCTCAGCCCGCCAGGAGCTCTTATTTTCAGCCAAACTGACCGGGCTCGGAGTTGTTTGCAATCTCCCCCGCCGTCCATGGGGTACTGAGGCCCGGGCGGGAAGCACACTCTGCTGGGATCAAGGCGGCAGCGGCCCTGCCGAGCCCCCAGCTCCTCGCCAGCTTTAGCCCCCTGCCCCGCGTGGACTGGGGTTTCTGCCACGCGGGGCTCCGCTCCAGGCTCTGGCTTGGAGAAAAACGGGACAAGGTCAGCGCCCAGTGGCCGACCTGAGATCCGCTCGCACCTCTGCCCTTGGGCGGGAGCCGCTGGCCCCCGATGGCCCCCGCTGGGAGGGGCGATTGGAGCCCTAGCGCCTGGATGTAAGGACCTGACCCTACTTCCGGCCAGCCCCGCCGCGTCCACGCCCATCGCGCCCGGGGACGCAAACATGTGAAAGTGGAGCGAGGGCCCCAGGGGTGAGGGGAGACTGGCCCTGGAAGCGGGGAAGAGGGGCGAGAAGCTTGCGGCCCTGCCCGCCACGCGGTCCGGCGCGGACTCCCGGGGTCGCGGTGCCAGGCGCCTCCTGGCCGCGGCGAGGGCTGGCTTCCGGGCTCCCGCCGGCTTCCTGCGGGGTGCTTGCTGCGCGCGAGGCCAGAAACAAAACAAAACAAAACAAATCCCGGGACGCCGCCGAGACAGGCTGCTCTCAGCTCTCACTGCGCCGGGAAGAGGGCGCGAGGCCCGGACGGCCGCGTGGGACCTACACATAGCAAACTTTCGGACGGAATGGACCGACAAGTGAGAGAAGCGCGCGCACTCTCGCTCCGCACCCCCTTCCCGGGACGACCCGGGGACGACCCGGCGCCGCTGCCTCCAGCGACACGCGCCTGGCCGGGCAGAGGGTGGCCTTTAATCTTACTAGAATTTCCAGGAGTTTGGTTACTTTGGCAAGCCAGGAGGCCCGGCCTGCTCTGACTTCCCGCCCGCCCGCCCCCAGCGACCCTCGCAGGCCGGCGCCGAGGCCCTGCGCGCCGCGGAGGCGGAGGAGGCTCGGAGCCCGCGCTCCCCAGGCGCTGCCGGCGGCGGGTCAGGACCTAGTGCCAGGGTTTGGAGTGCGAGGACAGGATTTGGGTAAAACCGAAATTTGGAGAAAAGTGCGAAAAGGTGAGTTCAGAGGCGCAGACGAGAACCTGAAGCAGGACCTTTTCCCAGAGGCAGAGACAGCACCCGCTGGCCCCAGGTCACCCTGGCTGAAGTCTCCGCCCCGTCCGGCTAGGGGAGCGAGGCTCAAGGCGCAGTCGCATCCTGGCGCGCTCGGGGCCGCAGGGCCTGGGAGGCGCAGGCCGGCGCCCCGGGGTTTCCCCCTGAATCCCTTGCCCGAGCTGGGTAGGACACCGGTGCCCTGCGCCCGCGGCACCTGCCCTGCAAAGGGGGCGACTCGCTGTCCTCCCTCCCCCTGCGCCCTGGCCAGGCCCAGCCCTGGGTGGTGAATGGGTTTAATCTTCATTTTCCCTGTAGAGCTGCCCAGAAAACCCTTCGGGACAGCAGACACTTGGTGCCCGCTCCCAAAGTCCCACTAGAAGAGGCAGTGTCCCTGCATTTACCACGGCTGAGCCCCCAAATACCTAACAAACCCAGGGCAGCTAGGAGCGTGGACACACCAGGCTGGGTGGGGCCTGGAGAGACGAGAGCGCTGACGGAGCGGCCGCAGGTGAAAGGAGCGGTCAGGCGCCCTCCCCAGGCTCAGTGCGCCCGGGCCGGGCCGAGAGAGGCGGCCAGGTGCGCCCAGGGGTGCGGAGGCCTCTGGCTGGGGAGGGAGGCTCGTCCTTTCCTCTCCAGCTCCGCCCCGCGCCCGGACGCGGCAAGGTCACCCCTGTCCTCCTCGCCCAGGGCCAGGACGAAGGCTACCAGACTCCGCTAAGGACGTCGCTGCCCCAGGGCGCTTTTCCTACACCACCAGCCGGCGGTTACCTACGCATCCCAGCAAAGTTCATTTGTTTGCCCCAGATCCCAGCCGCGTTTGGGAGGAGCGCGAAGGAGGTGCTTCCTGCGCGCGGGTGGGACGTCTTCTCTCCACGCCGCGCTCTGGGGCTTCTCCAGGCGCCTGGAGAACGCAGCCGCTCGGCCTAGCTGATCCTGAGGGCTCAGCAGACGAGGCTGGATGGACACAACCCGGGGGCCCCGGGGCAGCCAGGCCCGGTTGTGCGCCCTGAGCTGCATACCTGTACCTTCCAGTTCCGGGTGCAACCCTGCCACCTCCTCCGACTTCGCCCTTGCCCTGCCCCGCGCCCTGAGCTGCTGAGGACGCCCAGCCAGATGCCAGGCCGTCTCTGCCAGGCCCTCGGTTTGGGCAGCTGACCCCCAGCCAGCCCCTAGGCTCTCCCGAGGCCGCGAGGCCCTGTGTGGGTGCAGGCCAGCGCCTCATCTGTGCCCTCTCCACCCCTACATTCCGCCCAGAGCCCCGGCTTTGAGACTGGCACTGTGCATAAGAGGCGGCTGGGAAGGCTCCTTGCGGGCCAGGGTGGAGGGCAGGAGGGTGCTCTGGAAGGTTCTGGGTGTTTGTACTGGAGGAACAGCCCCTGTGGGGACAAAGGTGAAGACTGGGCTGTCTCCAGCGCCAGGTGCTCCTCTAGTGTTTTGCGCCTGGGGGGAAAGCTGCTTGGCATGATAGATCTTTTTAGATCCCATCACTGGAAGAAAAATCCTGGTGATAACGATTATCTCCTACTCGTATGATCTTGCCATCACCCCAATTCATCTCGCTCTCAGGCCAGCCCCTCGGGGAGACAGCAGGCGGAGGAGCTGGGAGGACTGGCCGAGCTGCTGCCCTCGGATGAAGCGGAGCTGCTGGGGTCCAGGCCTCCCGGTCTTCCCTTCCGCTCCCGGCTGGGGAGCGAGGACGCCCAGGGCTTCTCTGGGCCGAGCCTCACTCTTCTTTCCAGTGATTTTAGTCCGGTGCTTTGGCCTACCCGTATACGCTTCCAATCTCATGGCTCATAAACGATTAGCAAAATGGTTTCATTATTCACCTTCGGTATCCTAGGGAAGAGAGAGATGACGGGAAGGGGCAGTGGGACACCAGCTAACAGAGGCGCCGCGCTCAGCTCCAGTTCTGGCCCTTTCTCCAGGGCCTGCAGCAGACCCTTCTGGCTCCTCCTCTCCCTCCCGTTTCGCTCCGGCGCTGTCCATCCATCCCTGTCCATCTTCTCCGGACGCTTAGGCGTCTCCAAAGACCAGCTGAGCAGGAAGCTACTGGAGGTGCATTATTTGCTTCATTAGGTGTCTTTGGTAAGACACGCCCTGTGGATACGACGCGCGGAATTAACTGGTTCCAAGTGCTGTCCCTGGCCCCCTTTTGGGTGCTATCTGGGATGGGGTCGCTTGTCGTCCCCGACACCAAACCGCCTTAAGACAGCAGCATCTGGAATGACAGCCGAGTAAACCAGCAGGTCAGGGGTGGCTCTGGGCTATCCGCGTCCCCCGACCTGTGGCCTGCAGCCTGGCGTGGGTGGGTGCAGGCCCAGGTGACTATGGGCCGAAGAGAAGGGAACGGAGAATCCTGCTCAGGGGTCTTTGATTCTGAGCGGTGGCAAAAATATGTCATTAAATGAGAACACTTCAGTGCAAGCAGATCGAAGCAAAGTGGCCAGGGGCGCGTCTACTTTTCCTGGACGAATATTTTCTCTAAAGTGCCTCTCCTCGCCCTGTCCTCCCCTACACTTTTTTTTTTCTTTTCTTTTTGCAAATGCAAAGGCGGCCGGCCGCTGAGCGCGGTGCTGAGCCTGGATGCGGAAACCAATCTGCCTCAGAGGCCCCTGCGCGGTCTGCGCCCGGCCGGGCTCCCTGCGCTGAGTCACCGCGCCGCGAGGCCGCTGCTTAATATACATGGGGTGGGACGGAAGCCCATCTCCGCGCCTGCCCGTCCTGGAGAGGGAAAATCAATTTGCTATTTATTTTTGAAATATATAGATTTGAGAATTTTTTTCCGGGCCGACCCCCGTCCAGAAT